CTTCTGTTTGACATTAAAATAACTCGGTTTAAAGAACTTCAATGTTGGCTTCATTTTTCCCGGATGCCACTTCCATCTTTTATATACAGAGAAGGATAAGCTGCAGCGCAGTAAAAAACACAGAAAAGGAATGATATTATAATGATAGCTTAGCCATCTCAACTATGCTGACAAACATTAAGAATAGGTGCAACAAATACCAATGAGGCATCATTGTTCATTAAGAAGTCCATGTGAACACACAATTAATATCACCAAGCAATAACTAACAACTAATGGAAGGAAACTCATGCTATCTCATTACATTTGGATGAGTAATGGCTCCACAGATTTGAAAAAAATGTGGTCTGAAAACACTGTTCTTGGCACCACTGATAACATCAGTAAGATGGGCTAAATTGCTCACTATTTTACAGTTAGATGGATGCTGCATCTAGTGCCTGATATTTCTCATCAACATATTTCTAAACAGTCTCGGTGCCTATCAAAACACACTGACAGCACAGAAAGAGAAAATGCAAACAAGGCTGCACACTCCCAAAGAGGAAGGTGATGTCATCTGATAATAACCATGCCGTTAAGTGAGAGAAAAGCCGAATCTGGCAGCAAAGTAAAGTTTTCAGGAGAATCAGCTGCTTTACTTTAATCTGTTCCAGTTTCCAAGACTGAAAAACACAGATTACATAACAGCAGACCTCTGTGCATCCCTGGGCCTCTAAGTATGTGTGCAGTTGCTGCGGTGGAGTTTGGCTCACTTTGAATTTGGCTGGAAATCACACAGGTCTCCAAGTTACAGTCCAACACACACACACCGTTTACTGCAAAACAGCTCCAGTGAGAGGTACAAGGTCTCAGTGTGTCAGACAAGCCAAGAGCTGATGTAATTATAGCAATGCAAATGAAATTCCATTCCTTACTCGAGGAATAGGAAATATTTTTGAATCTGACTTCCTCGGGGTGATACTCATATTTAACAGAAATCACATCTTTTAAAACAAATGTCAGCAGCTACGTTTCATGTTTCTGAGGCTGGATTTTTATATATATATTACAGCAGATACATTTCCTAGACAGTTCATTAGGTACGACTTGCTAGTACCAGGTTGGACCTAGGGGTGGGCGATATAAACGATATACGATAGAAACGATATAAATTTGACCAATGATAGAGATTTTGACTATACCGCTCTATCGCGATAGCGCATGTTGATGATGTCATCAAGCTGCGCCTGTTTTGGTCGAAAGCATCGCAGCGGCTAAAACCATTATCATCTGCAAATTATGCCGGGCGCCAGTCATAGCAAAGAGATTAAGCACTTTTGAAATAAGGGGAAAGCCAAAACCTGCGCTTCCTCCACTTCCAGAACATTGATTCATTAATGTTGAATTCCCTCGCAGCTTTTCTATTCCCATGTTGCTGCAGTATATTAATAACTAACCTCGTATTGTTGATGAATAATCTCAGTTGTTCTCCTGACTGAAGTTTGGCCCATGTATAGCATCCTGCTATGCGATTGCATTTGTCCCTGACCACCAGAATCCCTCACGTTAACTTTTATGGAGGGGGAAAAAAGTTGGCGTTCATCCTCCAGCTTCACTGTGCTATTGTTATGCTAACATAACTGTGTCGCTAGCAATCACGTAGCACAACATGTTTAGGTGGAATCGAGCGAGCTAACGAGCTAACTTCCTGTTAACTTCTAACTCCGTTAAATTTAATAAATTCTGTTTTCATGGATGCATGGATGTTAAACTTAATTGTTACACCCGATAAAGCAACAACGCTGATGATTTAATTAAAGATGAAAGAATCTAGACCGTTTTTAAACTCTCAGTACTCGTTTGACTTTGGGACCTGAAACAGATGGAGTTTTGGACTATATTACTCCGCGAAGCTCCTCACTGCGGCAGCCTGCTCTGACAATCCATCAAGCAGTGCAGCTTACCAAAGTTGTACTAAAACATTTTTTAACAGATTTCTGCTTCAAATTATATCGCGATATGAATTTTAGGCCATATCGCCCAGCCCTAGTTGGACCCATTCTGATTCTGGTCCATGTTGACATGACGGCATCACAAAGTTGCAACAGATTTGTCGGCTGCACATTCATGATGCAAATCTCCTGCTGCACCACATCCCAAAGGTGGTGTAATGGATCTGGTCTTTGGTCTTTGGCTCATTATTAATCATGTGCCTCATTGCATGAGTTTTGGGTGAAACCAGTGTGAGACCTTGCCTCACCCCATCATATGACTGATCATGTGGATGCAAGATGTGAGTGGATCTAAAAACTGGGCTGTAGATGGCAGACAGCTGGTGTCATAAGCAACCTGTTCAAGGCTGGTCGTTCACAGTGGACACAGATGACTTCTTTCAACCTTCTTTTAGGCCATCTTACTTCTCTTGGTCTTATAACTAAAGAAGTTTCTCAATTAAAGGTCAAACTTCTTCAGGAAACTTAAGCCCCTTTTCCATTAGTACCTACTCAGATCGACTCGTTTTCCATTACAATCTAGTACCACCTAATGTGCGTGGTCATCATTATAGGAACGCGGCCGAGCGTCCCGTGACTTAATTAGTATGCAACATGAATGCTAGAACAAAGGTGGACATCGAGGGGACGATATACCTGCTGTTCAGTCTGCGGCATTTCGTCAAACCTCGCTGCTGTTTTTTGTAGACATTTCCTCGCTGCCCGGTTTAAAAAAATGGCAGTTTTTATTTTTGTGAACTCATTGAGGGCTGCTACTGACCAGCCAATCTGTGGCTTGCAATTGGCATTGGTGGCAGTCTGATAACGTCATATTTGAGTACCTGCTCACAACGCTTTGGAACCCGGCTGTGCAGGTATTAATTTAGTACCTGGTACCCAGTAATATGACCTAATGGGAAAACCCTAAAAACTGTGGCAAGTCAGTCTGAGTAGGTTCTAATAGAAACGGGGCTTTAAACAAGTCCCACCACTTTTCTTTCCATGTTGCTTGGATTACCATGACTTGGATGGCTGAGAACCCAGACAGACACAAGCAGCTGAACAGGTGTGGCTTATTATATACAGCCCACTCCCACCCAGGTATGAATGATTGGTTGTCTATTCGAAACATAAATGTTAACGTTTGTTTTGTTTTTTACTCCCACTACTTTATTACTGATAACCAGGTTGCTCCTCTCCTGTGTTATAGCAATGATTGAAAAACACCAAACCTTGTTGAGCCACTGCACCACTAAGATGAAAAAAAGATCATTAGTGATGCGCACAAAACATTTTTAACCAGCGTCCAAAGTTGCAACTGCGTCTTAATGAGCTGCAGCCTGGGAACAAAGTTAATTTCCCCCCTCGCTCTGTTTCTTAATTATGGAGCAGATTATATTTTAAGTGTGATTAAAGTCTTCAGAACAAATATAAGAGCTCCTAAATGACTTTGTGAAGTCTACAGACGAAATAAGAAAGGCATTTTTTTCCTGTTAAACCTACTGTGTTGTATTTTAAAGGAAAATAAAATCTCAGTAGTGCTTTAAATAATGGATTTCTACAGATAGAGGACAATCAGAAAGTTCAGGCAGCAGCCCCTCGGTAGGCAGCCCCTAAGTTGGCCAATCAGAAAACTGTTGGATTTTAAGGAGTTTGTTTCAGATGGAGCGTTCAGTGATGAGCTTGTAAAGGGCTAATAGGAGATAGACAAGGGTTTTTCTGAACTGAAAATAAAAAGTGACTCTTTGTGACTCCAAAGAATACAAACAGAAATGAAAATGGGTGCAACAGGTGCCCTTTAAGACAAGTGTAGCCTTATTACAAACGTTTAAGAGTCATACTCTTTAACTCAAGGATAGACTGTTGCAGAGTTAATCCAGCAGTGATGTGAAATTTCTGAAACACCACATCTGTGTGATCCAGTTTAAATACTGTGAGACATTTGAATCCTCACACACCCACTAGGCATCATTTTTGTGATACGCAGGTGAAAAGGCATCAGGGTTTTAATAAAACTGGGCTAAACCTCAACGTCTGTGCGTGTGGCAGATTCGAACTGCACGCTGAAATACAGCCACAGGAACGTGGCTTAAAATGGCCGTTATTTTTAACCAAGGCAGGACAAATACTCATGAAATCTAGCCTACTTTTACCCCATTTCACACCAAAACCACACCACTGGGCGCCGATGCCCAAAGCATAACACACAGAAATTATACGAGGACCTTTATTCTAACAGGGATGTGGTGTTTTTCTGGACAGCAGCAGGGTGGGTGCATGAGGTCTTCAACACCCCAACACACAGTCCTGCCCACTCGGGAAAGCCCACACAATGAATCCACACTAATCCCATCTTTTGTGGTCCTCCCTATGTCTCAGCGTGGCTGCACCTCATGCCTCAGACATGCTGCTCCACCATCACAGCCTAAAACTACCTTTATGTGCAGTCACAAACAGGAACATAAACAATACGGCTCAGAAACTTCTCCACTTGATGCACAAAACAGCCCCTAAATCCAGGACCCCCACGCCTATATACATGAAGCAATCACAGACGCCTTTTGTTGTCCTTCATAACAACTGTACCATCAAACTGACAACAAACATAAAGCCACACAGGAAGCAAGCACTCCATGGAGAATAAAGGCTCACAAGTACAAAACGTGAGCTCAAGCAAACAAGATAAACAAAGCATGTGATCAGTGTGGTCACCTGAAACAACAATAGACTCACAGAACACGTGCTTCAAACATCCCACAGCCCCAAAACTGCAGGAGTTGGACAGATAATAGAAAAACCAGACGAAAATAACACTTGTGCACAGAACAATACTTTTTGTTTTTGTCCCATTAACAGCAAATTAAAACCTCCAGAAATCCCGTTCGCCTTTAAATTAAGTTTTCACAAGACAGGCTGAACCATGAATGACATTTACTTTCTTCTATTATCACACCTAAATTCAAAAAATAACAATAAACATTTAATATATAAAAGCAGAGATGGACGCAGGGCGCGGGGAGCTCTTACCGGGCTGCTCGGGCTGCTTCTTTAATTCACTTTATATTCCGTTTTCCCGACAGTCGCTCGCTCGTCTCTCAGACACAAATCTCAAACCTCACTTCCATGTGCTCGCGACCAGGACCACGCGCTCAGAGGTGGAGGGGGGGAGCGCTCGGGATACGGCGTGTGTGACGTCACGTCGAGTCTGGAAAGCCGCTCGAGACAACGGTGGAACAGGTAGGGTTTTACCACGGTCTAACTAGATAAACTTCACCTCGTTATTCATTTATTCCAACGTAGAGAGTTCATATTACATTTAAATATAAAGATATAACGTATATTTATATCTATATATTAAATATCTGTGGTTTTAGATTATAAACGAGCTTTTGAGTTCCCGTGCCACACTTTTATTAGTGTGCTACTTTAAGAAATGTGATCGCAGATGCGCCGTTTAATGCACCAGCCCTCATCTAAAAGACAGCTTCACTATACCTGCGTTTAAACATGACATGCAGTTTCCCACCTTTCTGTGCACTTCCACAAGCATCCAGGACTCATATTAAGGAGCTGAGGTGGCTTCTTCTAAGTCTGAAGAGGAATTCCCTCTTTTCTGCACAAAACACGTGATCAACTTTTTTTTGTAAAACCATTTATGCAAATTTCACTTAAAATTCACTGCAGCAGGACTTTTAGACTCTTGGTGTTGTTTTGTTTAAGAGTGTGTACTCTTATTTACGTTTTGACCCTTACCTTCCATCAGTCAGAGGAAGAGGAGTGACTCAAAGTTTTATAACGCTCAGATAAGTTTTCTACCCAACCACTCACTTTCTAATGTATTCATGTGGACGGCCCCTACTCAGGTGTGACTGAGTGGCTAATCATGGTGGTGAAGAATGAGAGACAAGCTCCAGAAACAGGTTTTTGTTTTATATTTGAAAAAGAATCTATGAACATAATGAAAAAAAACAAAAACAGTGGGTCTGAACATCCAGACAATCGAAATCCAAAAATACATTTTCTTAGGAAATATTAATTATGTACAAAAAAAACCAACATAAAAATCCATATTTTAAGTTCAGGCCTTCAACAGTGTGAGCCACATTTTTAAACATTTTATTAATAAAATAAAACTTTTAAATATCTTCATCAGATGAGGCAGTTTTTTTTTTTCTTCTTCTTACATTGTAATTAAACCAGATTCCAAAACAACTTAATCCGTTTTGCATCTGCATGCAGCAACAACTGTACACACCCAACCCCCCCAACCCCCAAGTAATGAACTTTTATTTTGAGAAAAAAAAAAAGTTTATGATTCAAAGTTTAAGCACGGCAACCCTGCAGGTGTGCGAGTCTCTGCTTTAACTGTTCGCTTCTCCTCCTCAGCTGCTCTTTCAGAGAGAGGAGTCTCTGTTCGTCCGTCTGCATGCTGTAGATGCACTCCGTGGCCTTCTTCAGGATGACCACCTTGGCCGCCTTCTCGTTGTTGGCCACCTCGGGGATCTCGTCCCGCAGAGCGAAGAAGCTCAGCTTCAGCTCGTTCCTCCTTTGGCGCTCCAGCACGTTATGAGTCCTTCTCTTGTCGTAGTCCTCCGTGTCCGACGTTCGTGGGCTGGAACACTTGCGGTTGCTGCTGATCTGTTTGAGGACCCTGCTGTGGCTGTGGCTGCTGGCACCTCCACCGCTGCTCTCCAGCTTCAGCCTCTTGACAGCCGGCTGCTCGTGCCTCATGGATGGATGGGCGGCGTAATTATGCTGGTGGGTGGAGACGTGGCACCTCTTCAGCACGAGTGGGCTGGGGTGCCTGGTCTCCAGCGGGCTGGAGTCGCACCGTTTCACCACCTGCCTCTTTTCCACGGTGACCACGTCGATTTCCTCCTCTTCCTCCTGTTCGTCCTCTTCTTCTTCTTCCTCCTCCTCCTCCTCCTCATCATCATCACCTTCATCCTCTTCCTCTGCAAAAGAGCAAAAACAACATAGTCACACACTCTGCTGCCACACTGGGGTTGTAATCCTCCTCTAAAAGCATCTCTGCAGTCCATTCAGGCTTTCCCTCTCTGCCACATCAGTTGATTGCTTAACATGCAGCCATTCCCTCCAGCTAATCTCACAGCAGTCTACTGCATGACATGGGGGTGGAAGTGGCAGCAGGATCCACCTTTCTGTCTGCAATTCGTATGAATGAAAAGCAAGAATGTGCCTCATTTCAATCATAATGTCATGCATGTCCCCGCCAACAGAAAGAAAATCCCTAATTGCACTGAGGGGTGTGCCTCCCCAGGCAAAAAATAAA